GCGCAGGGCCGGCGGCGGAGGCGGCGGCTGCGCCTGGGGTGGAGGGAGGCGTCAGTGGGGGCGTGCGGGTCAAACCCGAGCCGACGGACAACCAGAGAGGGCCCGGCGCGGCTGGGCGCGGACCGCAGCGGCGGCAGCCGCCGCGAGGTCTGGGGGTCGGGCGGGACCCAGCGCCTGCAGAGGAGCAGCGGCGAGTGCACCAGCCGCAGCACGCGCGGCGCCAGGCCTCGGCTGGGCCGCCGCAGCCGGCGCAACCACAGCAGCAGGGGCGGCAGCGGCGGCGGCGGCTGCAGGGGCAGGAGGAGGATGGGAAGGAGAGGGAGCGGGAGGAGGACCAGCAACAGGGGCAGCGGCCGCGCAAGCGGCGGCAGCTGAAAGAGGGTGAAGCAACAGAACAGCGGCGACAAGATGACCAAGCGCAGCAGCAGCAGCAGCAGCAGCAGCAGCAGCAGCAGCAGCAGCAGCAGCAGCAGCAGCAGCAGCAGCAGGGGGAGGAGGAGGAGCAGCAGGAGGAGGAGCAGCAGGTCCAGCAGGAAGAGCAGCAGCAGGCAGGAACGCAATCGCAGCATGTGCGCCGGCAGGAAGAGGAGCAGCCGCAGCAGCGTCAAGATGAGTCAGCGGATGACGCGTCATTTCACACACCAACCTCCGACGACCCTTCTGCCCCTGCCGAAATGCCACCCCCACTCACAACCACGCACGCGAACGCGGGGGCGCCGGTCTCGCCGCCTGAGCGCGGTGCGGCAGACGACGGCGGCCCTAGCGTGGCAGACGGGGCATCAGGGCGCCGCGTCATCAAAATAGAGGGCTGCGGGCTGCTGGAGACGCCTGGGATGCCGCTGGTGGGTTCCTGAGCCCCGGGGCGAGCATTGAAAACACTTTTGGAGGGCTGGTATTGAAATGTTTGAGCCGTGGCAGGGACGGACACCTCTACTCATCTACTCAGGCCCCCTCCATGCGCTGAGCAGCCAGCCGCTGCCCGGGTGTATTCCTGCAATCGCGTCCGCCCGCACACCACCCCTCGGCCGCCCCCGAGCGCCTGCCCCACCTCGCAGCCCAATCGCCCCGCTGGCTGTGCGCACCCCTCCCCTGTGAAACGGCCGCCACCAACACCGCCACTGCCTGGCCCCTGTTTCCTGAACCCCCTGCTCCCCCAACACCAGGGCTCCGGCGCGCCGCGCCAGGTCGCCGCGCGCAGCAGCGCGGACCCCCTGGCGCCCGCTGGGCGCGTCGCGCGGCGGCTGCTGGACCCGATCCCTGGCCGCGATGGCGACGGGCGCGCGCGGCCGTCACCGCAGCAGCAGCAGCAGCAGCAGCAGCCGCCATCAATTGCGTCCGCCTCCGCTCGCGGAAATGAAAGCGGCAAGGCCGCGTGCCCGCTTGGCGTGGGTGGCGGCGGCGAGGCGGGCGTGCCGCGGGCCAGTGTGCCGCCTGTCGGGCCCAAGAACGGCGCCGCGGGCGGAAGACTGGGCGGCAGCGGGATGGAAGAGGCTGGACAGGAGGAGGAGGAGGAGGGGCAGGAGAAGAAAGGGGAGGAGGAAGAGGAGGGGCACCAGGAGGAGGAGGTGGAGGGAACGAGGGACGCCTGCAGCGGAGGCGGCAGCGACGGATGCAAGGCAAGGCAAGCTGTTCAAGTGGCGGCGGGCCGCGGGGCGCGGGGGTCGTCGAGGGGGTTTGGGGCTGAAGGGCATGAGGCGGCGGGGATGGAGGTCCAGCGGCGAGACGGCGGCCCGGAGGAAGACGAACGGACGGGCGGGGTGCAGGGGGGGATTCAGCATTTGGAGGCAGAGCAGCAGCAGCAGCAGCAGCCAGTGCAGCAGCAGCAGCAGCCAGTGCAGCAGCAGCAGGGGCAGGAGCAGCAGGAGCAGGAGCAGCAGCAGCAGGAGCAGCAGGAGCAAGAGCAGCAGCAGCATCAGGAGCAAGAGCAGCAGCAGCAGCAGCAGCAGCAGCAGCAGCAGCAGCAGCAGCAGACTCCGAGGCCGTCGCGGCGGCGCAAGGAGTGCGACGACATCGCGCGGTGGATGCTGCCCGACGGATGGCTGTCCTTGGTGGGTTGCCTACGGCTGCTGGCGGCCGTGCGACTCGCGCAAACCTCCCTCCTTGGCAGCGCGTCCGCAGCGCCGCTTGCTGAGGGAGCCTGCCAGCATGCGCGCCGGCCGCCTCGCCAGCGCCGCGCCGGGCCGGGCCGTGCCCGCCGCCCCCACTCACCGTTCCCACGCCGGCCCTCTGCTTCCTGCCTGCAGGACCGGCGCCCGGTGCTTTCGTCCCACCTTGCTATGCTGTCCATTGCAACCCCCATAGCCGATAGCCTCCTGCGCTCCCTCGGCCTCGACCTGCCGCCCGCCCCCCACGCGCCGCCCGACGGCGCCACTGCCGATGCAAGCGGCCGCACGGGCGCCGCGGCGGCGCCGGGCGGCGCGGCGGTCACGGTGAGGGTGCTGCGGGCCGGCGGCGCCCCGGCGGGGCTGGCGGGCGCCGCAGCCGCCGCGTGCCGGCTCGGGTTTTCGAAGAACGGGTATCGGCTGACCGGCCTGCGGCCGCTGCTGCGGGGGCTGGATGGCGGCGCGCACCGGATGGAAGCCGTGCGGGCGGCGGGCGGGGAGATTGAGATCCGGGTGGGGCTGCGGCCGGAGGGCGAGACGGCGGCGGCGGCGGAGGGGGCGAGCGGTGGTGCAGTGAAGCTAGAGGAAGGTGGGGGCAGCGGGGCGGCGGCGCCGGCCGCGCCCCACGGGCGTCTGACAGGAGGCCCGTCCAGCGGCGGCGCGGCCGGGCCCGGCGGCGCCGGCACGCACGCGCCGAGCCCCATCCGGCGCATTGCAGACTGGGAGAGCGGCCACTCGGCCGCGACTGCCGCGCCCGCCGCGCCCAATCGCCCGTCAAGCGCCGCGCCGCCCGCCAAGCGCCAACGAGCTGAGGCTGGCGCGGCCGCAGCCGCCGAGGGCGGGGGCAGCGGCGGGGGCGGGGGCGGCGAGGACGACAACAGGCGCGTCGAGACGCCGCTGCCCGCAACCGACGAGCTGTGGAAGGTGAGCGGGCGGCCCCGTGGCGAGCCGCTGAATGCGCCCTCTTGCTGACTTGGACGTATTTTATTGAACGGATTCTGTGTCCGCAGATCCCCCAACCCACCCCCCACCCCAAAGAAAATTCCGTCCGTCAGACCCTCACGCTTTGTTTCGCCTCCGATGCGTTGCGGTGACCCCGTCCTTAGGGCAAATCGCGGGCGCGGGTTAGCGAGTAGGCTCCGCAGCGGGCTGGCGCGCAGCCGCCCGCACATCGCTCCTG